GTGGTGGAGGGGGCGTCAGGACGGATTAGAGACCTTTCCACTAAAGTGTCCGCTGAGGAGATCACTGAGATCCAGCTCACCATCAAGGCCATTTTTCGTTGCCCTCTGAGAGCAAAACAGTCTCAATGGAAACCTCAGCTGAAGTGGCAGGGGAGTAAATATGACATTTGATTTTTATTCTATTTTTCTCCAAAGCGAGGGATTTCGATCACTCGGTTCAAACCCAGAAGTCAAAGTGGCTCCCCGCTCGAACAAACAATGTAGCAGCAGCAGCAGCGGCACACGTCTCTCTTGACGGCTCCCAGCCAGTCGTGGAAATTCCACATTCCACACGTTCGTGGGCCAGTGTCTCCCTAAGACAATCACCAAAGACTTCCCGTCCACACCTGCGCTAAAATCGCTACACTTTTGGAAGTCAGTGCGGCAATTATTGTATTCGCCCCCCCCCTGCCCCACCCCCCCCCCCCCCCAGGGAGATGATAAGGCTGAGTTGTCCTCTTTACCAGGATTTGAACTCTCAAACTTACAAATAGGAGTGAAGTGATCCCATCACAGCACCACCGAGTAAGCTGCTCCCACCATCGTTTGATGATCGACTTTACGCGGACGTCTGCCTATTGGTGAGTTGGCTCCGTCTCTGCGCCATACGACCGCTGGCCAAGTCTGATAAACGCCAATGCCATAATTGTCTGTCACCATGCAAAAGCTCTCCCGTGTCAGGCAATCAATCAAACAGATACATCGATCATTACATTATTCAGCTCAAACCCATTTATAGTTATCATTTTATTTTCGGAGACGGGATCAGATGTTAAAAAAAAAATTCTGTTTTAGATACGGTTCGTGTTAATGCCTGGGGTCTCGGTTCAGTCACCGTCAAACAAAGTGTGCCATGCTCCGTTCAGCGGCGTCGTTATGAAGAAAATTGGGATCCACATTAGAGTGGATCAGCTTGAATACCTGCAAAAAATTGCCGGTGGCGACACGAATTGAACCATTCATTGTCCCCACGAGGACCCGCTCCCACCACCAAAACCCCATTTTCGCTCCTCTCCCCCTCCGATCATTGCCCCCCCCCCCCCCCTGCGTGAGTAGCGGGGGGGGGGGAGGGCAGCGAGCCCGACCGCCCTTCCCGTTCTCCTGCCCCGTGGGCACCTGGCCTCAGTTTCAGTTTCATTTTATCTCCATATATATAAAAGGCAAAGTTGTGATTATGTGTGTCTGTTCAAAATGTTCAGCGTACTTCCCGACATGCAACAAAACTGGAAATTTGCCATGTGGGTACTTTCCAGACTGTACACCATGCAAAAATTATAAAAATACACTTTAGGGGGGGGGGGGGAGGTCAATCATGCATTTATTTTTTGCACGGCAAGTGAGCTGTGACGTCATATCTGTCATGTGACCCGCGCATGTGGAAGCGTAACGCATTGTAGTGTAGTGGGTAGCGCGCTGCATCACGAATCCGGCGACCCGAGTTCGATTCCCGCTCACGGCCATCACCGGTGACGATTATTTTTACCGGTCTTGGGCCTCCCCTAGGTCGACTCAGCCTCAAACGAGTAACTGCTCTGCTGTGTGAACATCGCCACTGGGGGGACAAAGGCGGCCGGGCGTGGTGCTGGCCACCCACCCCCTCGTTAGGTATAACCCTGTGAGCCACACGGCTCTTGACTCGGATGCAACCGCAACAAAACAAAAACATGAACAAGAAACATCTTAAAGTGACTACACGCAACCGCCTCGGACCTTGTTGTCTGTCCCCCCCTCCCCCCTTGCCGCCCGTGCTCTTTACCGGGCTCATATATTAAAAAAAAAATATTATATACGTAATAAATGTTTATTGAAAAAAAATATAAACAATTATTTTAACATATATATTTTTTATTATTAAAAATAATTATTCCGCTACGACCGACCACGGTGGCACGCACGCTAACGCCATGCCATCATCCTCCAAGGACCCCGATATTAATAATACTGGTAGGAAACGTAGTGGACTGGAAGCCCAACCGGGATTAATTCACAGGAGGCAGAGGATTAATTGTGTATGTCTGTGGATGTCTGTCCACGTGTATCCGGACACCCGGATAAAATGGGAGGGGTGGGGCTGGGTGGAGAGGGGAGGGTGGGGAGGGGCTGGGTGGGGAGGGTGGGGAGGGGCTGGGTGGGGAGGGGAGGGTAGGGACGGGCTGGGTGGGGAAGTTGGGGAGGGGCTGGGTGGGGAGGGTGGGGCTGGGTGGGGGGTGGAGAGGGTGGGGCTGGGTGGGGGGTGGGAGGAGTGGGGGTGGGAGGGGTGGGGCTGGGTGGGGAGGGGCTGGTCACCCCGTGGTGCCCTTATAAAACTCAACGTTTAACCTACTCATGCCGGCTTGTGCCCGCCCTCACAGTCGGGCATATTTGCGGAATACACCACGTGGTGCCGTTGACCCTGGCCATTGACCGAGCAACCCAACGTTCCTACCAGCTCCCTCCGCAGGAATGTGTTTTAAAACACAACTACCACCTCAACACGATGCGCCCCCTTCTCTCTCTCTCTTCCTCGCGCTCCGCTGTCCGCTTCCTCGTTATCATCGCTGACCTCCTTGATCTCCCAACCCCCCCCCCCCCCCACACGCTTTTCGTTCATTTTGTTTTCCCACTGCGTGTTACTGACGAACACAACGTGGTCAAATTACTCCTTTTAAACCAACAACAAAAAAGACAAGATGCTGTTTTTTTATTTCATCAGGAAGTGCCCAATAATCGTTTCGGCTCTATTTCATGGAATGGACAGTCATTAAATATCACTGTGGACAACTCAAATTGATGACATCCGATAATAGGGTTTTTCCCCTTTTTTTGGCAACAAAACTGAAACCTTTTTTTATAAGGATTCATGTCTGCATTAACCACAATACCTGCAGTCAAAATGCAAACAAAAAAACATACTATGATAATATATGCATTGTCCTTGAAACTGATTGGTTCACACCAAGGGACGGCTTTCTTTTGAGCCTCGACCCAATTGGTGCAATGCATATATTATCATAGTATGTTTTTTGTTTGCATTTTGACTGCAGGTATTGTGGTTTAATGCAGACATGAATCCTTGTAAAAAGGTTTCAGTTTTGTTGCCAGAAAAAAGGGGAAAAACCCTATTATTACATTTTGGTACTGGCAAAAGGAGGTCTAATAATGTTGATGACATCCGTTTCGCCCAGATGATGGTATTAGTTGTATCTGAGGTAACGAAAACATGAAACGCAAGTGGTGCCACGGTCTGTAACCCGCTGGACCGTGGAGCAAACACCACTGTAGTCTGCGCTCCTTCAACGGAGGAGGAGTAACGGCAAAACGACACGAAATCTCTAAACTCCTGGAGGCCTGTCATCGTGGCCAGCATAACTCGACATTGGTATCGGGAGCTCCCCAACATCATGTCGACGTACGCTTGGATACAATTACATCCAAGTAAGGAGGATCCGTCCAACACATTGTTTACCTGTGTCCAGGTGTAGCCGAACGTGTTCTTCACGTAAAAGTAACAAAAACAAATCACGCAGCATTGTGTATTGCTGCCTTTCAGTTAAAAAAGTCACGCTGTGAAGAAACAACACGCTGGTTTATGAACGTTCGTATGCAAAATGTAGTGACTATTATCTTAGCGGTGGTGCTCGAACAAACTCAACATCTCATCATTAGCCCGCACCTCTGATTAGCACGGTTGTCTACGTAAGGCGCAAGATAAGCTCAACATACATACATTACAACTGCCATACGGCAGAAGAAAATATAAAGGAGGCTGATTGGTCAGGTAAGAACCCAGCACAAAAGGGCCACACGCACACGTGGCTGCTGATGAAACTGAGAAAGTCAAAACTGATCCAGAGAATGTGTGCTTATACAAGCTGATGAGAGAAAATATGTGATCCAGCACGCCTACATGCTCATGGAGTAGACTATTTATATTATGTTCGTGTGCTGAAGCAGACCCCTGTCCGTCCATGATTGTATTATCAGCTACAGTAGACCACAACAGAAAGAGGGTGCATTATATGTACAACCACAGTGATTTCAACAGGCCTCTTAACCTGCTCATTTTCGACAGGCACCTGGTTACACAATTGATACCTGGTCATATGGCGAAACAAAAAGAACATCCCTAATAGAGGTTTTGTGAGTTAGATCACGTAAATATAGAAATGTGTCGTTAAACCCGCAACCACCCTACACAGCCAATTAGTAAGGTTTGTCACGTGAAACGTAAAGCCTGCAAAGTGGAGTTAATCAATGGGTGCACCCTTCCCAGGTGCCCCGCTCAGGAGTGCTCGTTAAATGACAACCAAAGTCAATGTAGTCCTCAGAGTTGCAATACGCCTAATTCAGCGATGAGCCAAATTTAATATGGTAATTATTGTGCAGCCATTGGTGACTGGGCAGATAACCACTTAAAGCTCACTTGAACTTGAAAACTCAGTTTTAATCACGCGGTGGTTGAAACTAATATCTGTTCTGTATAACAACTATATATTTGGTGAGATGTTAACTACCTCACCTGGTATACAGGAGGTCGTGGGTTCGATCCGGACGCCGACGCCTGTATATTTGGAGTTTGTATGATATCTCCATGGTCGGGTGGATTTTTATCCGAGTCCTCCGGGTTTTCCCACCGCATTTAGAAACATGCATTTAGAATATTTGGCTACTATACATTTCCACATGATCAGCCACTTCGTTGAGCTATCATTTGTGGGCAGGTCGTTTATGAAAAAGAACTACGTAGCTCAGTGGGCCTTACACCTGGTCAAAATAAAAAGGAGTAAATAATCGCAGGACGAGCATGAAAGAAAATCTGACAGCTGATTGAGCCCTTCCTCAAGAAATAAACAAAATCTGAAAATCTAAATCTCTAATCTACGAAACCCAGATTTCGGACCGAGGATCTCGGCGAAGGATGCCGACTCATTGACCTGGACATGGCACACGGCGTGAGCTCATTCCCCGACCAAGAGACTCACCGGACGGAGAAGAAGAGTACGACAGGCCCCGACGTTCGGCAGAATTCGTGGTCCAAGACTCTGCGTTCGAGATGAAGCCAGTTCCAATGCCCTCTGTCGACACAGACACACACACGAGTGGCACGCACGCCACCCAAGCAATGCGCTCACTTTCAAGAGAGCACGGACGGACAGTTTCCAAGGTTACGACACACTCCCCCCCCCTCCTCCTCCTCCAACGCTTGTGTTTACTGCCAGACCTATAGAGTGTGCTAGGTACACAACGGACGGACGCATCCCCATTGGACTCCCCATTGGACGTCTCGGAGGAGTTTTTGGAGTGCGTGCGAAAAAAGAGAGACGTGGGCAAGTCAATTAGCTTGATGAGCAAGCCTGAAATCAGGGTGGATTTATTTCACACGTCTGATGGCAAGGTCACGGTTATCAGGCAGTGCATCAGCCAACAAGCGTGGCAGTACATCATAGCGTAGGTTAGGTTTCACGTTTACTGTATAGTTGATCCAAACTCACTCGTGTCTTCACATTTTGAAAACATCTACTATTTTCTCTCTTAATGGGCTCTTGACACCTTGTTATGTTGTCAAGCCAAGTTATGTTGTTATTCTATGTACGTATGTTAAACGTCTTTCGCACCGTACGAAGCCAACTGCGCTAATTGGAGGTGTGGAGGAAGGACAACAAACTGCCATCAAGCCATTATTTGACCCTCAATTTCTTAATCTACCAACCCACAGATTATCCACTAATTCATCTCTATAATAAAAACAAAATGCCAATTCATTTACGGTGGCACGCGTTAACTTCAAATATTTTCCCGCTCAGATAAAGACATTTTTTTTAAAATAAGGAATTGATTTACAAACATTACACGATATCGGTTCAGCCAACTGTGGTGTGTTTGTAAGATACATTTAAAAAGTCTGAATAAACACCACCATCGAATCTCAAGTGCAGTATATTCCAACAGTTGTAAAGTTACAGAGCGAGCTTATTTACATTTTCTCCGCAATAAATGTGTTCTTAAAAAGTTGACAATATTTATTGGCCTCGCTGTATTTTGTTTCACGTCACATGAAGAAATCAATCACTATGGATAAAAAATAATCGATACATTACGCATAATCTATACAGTTCTAAGCGTAATAACCTTCCATCTGACACTTTGGATCGGATGACATTGCACATCAAGGAAAGGCAAAACAGAAATACTTCATATCTGTGAAAGCCTTATCCGTATTTTAATGTATGTAGGAGGCTAAAAGGTTCATAGATATATCTAAGTGTCATCCCAGAGTGTGTGTGTGTGTGTATGAGAGATGATAGAAATAGTATGCTGCTCAAAGGGTGCTGAGATTATATTGTATCACCTTGCACATTATATATATCGTTATAGCCCGTATACAGTAGATCAAACACTGGCGTAACCTCCACAACATTGAAGTGTAAGCTAATGAGAGCCCGCTGCACATGGTTTATGGATGCGGCCCTATCTCGCTCAGTACAAAGCTCCATTTAAAACTGGGGAGGTCCCTTATCAGAAAATGGCTTTCAAACAAGACCAAGGGAAAGCGTAAATCATCATGCGTGCATCAAACGGGCCCTCTGAACAATAAAGCAATGAAAATGTTATTTTGATTGCAACAAAAAAGCAAAACGGAGCGGTGCATTATTTTTTTGGAGACAATAATTGCCGCTTGTGAAGGCGTGATCAAGTTAATTCTTGTGAGGAACGCGACGCCACGGTTGAAAATGTTACTTGTGCAAGTCACAATTTACAACACACTTAATGGATAAAGGCAAACAATTTGTTTTTATTTGTAAATTAACACACGCACACACACACACACCCTGGGTAAAATTGTGATGCATTCACTGGTTTATTCGGTGCATTTGCTTGAAGGTCAAATGTAAAAAAAAGCAACGAATTAGAATCATATTCATATTCTTAGCTCTTTCGGTAAAGTCACGTTGAAGGGAAACAATAAAATATATATAAAACAATAAATATTCTCACGACGTTTCGACCATAACACAAACGGTCGTCATCAGGTGTGTCGGTTTGCATAAATTTATTTATTTTTAAACGGTGTATTTATTTATTAAAAACGTCAGCGCCACGCGCAGCGATTTTGTACTTTATTTAGAAGGACTAGTCCATCTATGTTCTGAAAAGAGGAGGGGGGAGACGAAAAATTAATGTATGCTGTCTGGAAGCCACTGTAAGCGTGAACAATCAATTAAGACCTGAATCAATTTGATGAGACAGTGATGACGCGCTACATGAACAGGAAAGGCATTATTAAATAAATGCGATCATTCTTCTGAAAATGCCTGCGAATTAATGTAAGTGCGAGACGTGACAGATCGAGTGCCAGCACTATGCTTACGGCAATGCTTTATTTATACACAGTCTAGCAGTGATGTGTGCACTCATGAATTAATGCAAACAAAGTGAATCATAAATTTTGACCAGGTTTGCTCGGGTGAAGTATAATATTGTTTAACGAGGTTGAGAGTTTAAGAGACCAGGCTAGAGAGTCTAAATGTCACAGCGTGACCTGTGGCATGAGTCTGCTGCCAGCAGGGGGACCAGACGTGTTGTCCTGTGTAAAATCCTAATTGAGTAATTTGTGATGCAATTTGAATTTTTTTTTGCAACAAACAAAAAATGTGGATCTTGAATGCCAGCAAAATGACCAGCTCTTACCATTGACAGCACAGGATCTTTATACGTCCATTCTGTGGCGTACGGGGGGCACCGTATTGTCGTCAATTACGGTTAATACACCCAACGTAGCAGCAATAACCAGGGCTGCCCACTGGAGTGAAACCGTGAACTTCTGCAAAGAGCGGCGAGTACGCTACAGCTTGGCCACGTCAACGCCCTATCCTCCTGCTGGCATGCAGATAAGAATCATCTGAACTCATATTAATAGTGAGAGCTAATAAGCATCATCGTCAGCTGTATTTTATCTACTGCTGGATATAAGCCACCTCATGACAACGGCATTCCTCGCGGTCCAGCGATGCTACAATCCATCTTGCTTGTGCACATGGGGTAATATCGCCACGCCATATGTGCACTGAAGACTTAAACGAAACTGAACAATTTTTTTTATTTAGCAAGGTAAAGCCCACTGAGCTATACAGCTCATTTTCAGAAGCGACCTATGCACAGATGATAGCTCAACTAAGTGGCTTATTATGGAGAAATTTAGAACAGCCAAATCCTCTAAACGTACGTTGATTCTAAATGTGGAGGGGAAAACCCGAAGGACCTCGAGAAAAATCCAAGCCACCACGGGGAGAGAGAACATGCAAACTCCAAATATACAGGGGTCACGGTTGGGATCGAACATTACCACCTCCTGTATACCAGGCGAGGTAGTTAACATCTCCTAGCCACCGTGGCACACAGCACTCGCCTCTTTGTTTCATCATATTGATCCCAGTCCACTCTCAATAGTTGTTCGAGGTACAGTATGCTATTGTACTGTATGTGTGTGTGACTTATTTCACACCGTACGTAGCCAACCTTGCCAATGTGTTTTCCAGTAGTGTCCCCTCCAGCAATTAATGTCCTCAAGCATATCAACCCTGCACACTTGTTGTGCATGGGCTTTTGTTTGACTTATATTTGGCTCGAGAAAAAATGTGCAGCCTTCTTTGTTGAGGTCTTCAACGTCTCTGCTGCAGCTCGTTTCCATTGGTTGTTAAAACGATGATGTCATGCGCAAATCAGAGATGGCCCACACATTATACATTCGTGTTAACGAATTTATTTCTCCAATACATGATTTGAATAACATCTTCCAATGTTTCTGCGAATGACCTTGGTCAGAGAGTACGGTATCTACGGTATCTCTCGGTATCTCTCTGCCGGCCCCTTCTTCTCTCTGCCGGCCCCTTCTTCTGACTTGAGGAGGGAAACACTACGGTCAGATATGTTTGGCCTCCAATAGGTGCTCGCTAATTACACGCTTACAAATTTCGGTATATAAACGAGTCGACTATGAGGCCCATCAAAAAGAATGCGAATGGAATTGAGGAAAGTGCGCTCCCCAGACTGCTAAAAATGATAACAACCGCGCGTTAAATCTTGACTTAAAGCTTTCGTGACTGCAGGAATTCATTCTTTGGGTCTTTCTGTAAAGGCACGTAGATAGGTTCAAAGAAAATAACAAAAAAACTACGACGTTTAGATCGCAACACAAGCGGTCGTCCTGATGATGACGACCGCTTGTGTTGCGATCTAAACGTCGTAGTTTTTTTGTCATTTTCTTTGAACCTATCTACGTGACTTTAACGAAAGACCCAAGAATATAACAGCCGTGCGTTGTTATTAAACACCTGCCTCTCCCGGAGGAGTAATCACAACCGCCTCCGTCTTCGTCAAATCATCATCATCATCAAAGGTAATACAAAAAACCCCATTGTTCTTTATGAAATATTATTTATATTATATTGACCATGGGTACAAGGTTTCTGCATTCGCGAGCGTTTGCAAGAAGGCAACCCTCGCGGATAGAGAGGGTTTACTAAACTTGAGTCATCTTACGAGCTCAAAATGTGATATTTTATACGGTGCATTGAAAACTGATTATATAAATAAATCTGCTTCGACATCTTTTGGTGTCATATACACGTAGATTATACACAAAATAACGAACGTTTGCAAAGTAAAGTCACAAATAAAGCAACCTATGTGCTAATTATTTTTGTTCAAGTCTCGCAAAGGTTTTAACTTGAATTCGTGAAATAACTTTCACAATCACTTATATTTCACATCTCCTATATAGTCGATATAAAAAGAAATAAATACAATCACAGGATACTCTTGACACATTAAGTCCCTTCTTGGCATGGATGTAACCAGCTGCAAAACAAATTTACACTAAGTTACAGTAACAAATTGTAATTATTTCCATTATAGTGTGGGCTAGTGTGACGCTAAATGGCCTGATGTAATGACACAAGCAGATGCTGGAACATTTACCGTAATTATGGCCATTCCTATTCGTGGCAAATATACCACGTGCCTGACGATTTAATTTGCTGGAGTACTGCCAGCGTCTAGAAGTGGCATCTAATGG